CCGCAGCGCGTGGGACAGCGCCACGGCCGCGAACCAGTTGGCGGCGGCGTCCCGCGAGAACAGCCCGCCGCACAGCAGCTGCCCGGCCGTGAGCCGCGCCGCCTCCCCCGCCGTCGGCAGCAGCGTCGACACCAGCGCCGCCTGCTGGCTCTCGTTCCGGTACAGGAAGCACTCGAAACAGTACAGCACTGCACATCTGCCCGTCAAATATGATAACTATTAGGTTAAATTTTTTGAAGTTATACTTCTTTAGGCGGGTTATGAAAAATTAATGAGAGTGAAATTTTACGATGCGCGAGCACCGTGACACAAAATTAACAGAAATGAAGTTGCCCACTAAATCGCCCATTACAATACGACCGACGTAACTTGGCGAGTCTGAATATAGCCGCAGGTGAACTTTCGCGCATGTACACTCGTAAAAAATGCTACCAACAAAACAGAAATGGAACCTCTATTAGTGGCGCATGTTGGCACGCACGCCGCCTCTGTTCACTGTGTATTTATATTTATAATATTTATCCACATGCTTTGAGTTTCTACATTTAAAACACGTGTTTTCATTTTGTTTTCATTATACAAGTGCGAATTTTATATGTGCGTCTGAATTATAATCAAAAGTGATTTAAATTGAATATTTAAATCAATATTAATTAATATTAGAAAATATTTGTGAAAAAACTGTGCTCTTCAACCTTCCTAAGTGCTCCAATACAATTGAGGTTAACTATCCGTATGTATTATTTAGTAATATAAGTGACAAAATTCTTATTTAATATAATTCAAATTGAATATTATTAAATTATTAACGTTAAATATTTATTATTAATTATTTAATACATACATAAGTACACGCACCCTTCTTTTTTATTTATTTGAAGTGCTTCATCTGATATATTTTAACGTTAACGTACATATAAAATTTTCATATAAAGAAACATGCGCAGGTAAACGTGTGTGCAAGCCCATAAGTGGACCTGGGTTAGTTTTACTTATTAGTGTTAGCACTACACCATTTTCACTGGGAACAACTTTACCTGAGCACATGAAGAAGTTTGATTATTTATTGGTTAATGTTTATAAGTGCATTGCCTGGACGGCGGTCCTCGAGAGCATGGGCGACCTAATGGATGCTTCTGCATATACATCGTCAGCGCAACCACGACCACTCTAACAAGTGTCTGACTGAAAGAGAAGAGAAATGTTTATAACACTTTACCTAAGTTGGAATGGCTGTTTCTCGTTGAGCATACACATGAGCAGGACGAGCAGAGTGGGTCGAGGCGGGTCGGAGGGCGCGGTGACCTGCGCGAGATAGTCCTGCGACTCTGGCTCGGCGCGCACCGCGTCGGCCACTGCCAGGATGGTGTCGGCGAGCACGGCGGCCGGCACCCCGCTCGACATGAGCACGCCGCACAGCGCCGCCAGCACGCCGCCCGCCCGCACCGCGCGTCGACAGCCGCCCGCGCCCGCGCCCTGCCCGCCCACCAGAGCGCGCACCACCAGCAGCGTGACCTGCACGTTGGCCACGCGCTGCGCCGCCCACCCGGCCTCCTCGGCCTCGTCGTCGCGCGTCGCCAGCAGTGGTAACAGACGCTGCACGTAGCTACCCTCTTTGAAGAAGTTCACATTGCTGCTGTTGTTCTTCAGCAGGTTCAACATCAGCAACAGACAGTCTTCTACTATGATACCGCCCTCGGCGTGTCCTTCGCTCGCAATTATCTCAAACAATCGGTCGAATGTATTCTCGAACGCTACTATTTTCTGTATGTTGGCATTGCCCTTTGTCAATTTAATTAAAAGCAACAACGTTTCATTTCTTACGACTTCCCGGGTGTCTCCGAGGAGGTCTATCATCTTGGATACTCCCATAGGTTTGACTAGAATGATCTCTTGGATGTCACGGGTTCTGTTCGTGAGCATGAAAGTAAGTAGCTGTACGGCTGAGAGTCGCACGCGGAAGTCGTATTCGTCAAGAAGATCTAACACAAGCTGCACATTCTGTGGATCTTTAATGAACATTTCAGTGAACTGTTCCCCAATGTTACAAGGAACTTGATGGTTGTCCTCTTCAACTTTGAATAGAGTTGGAGACATAATATTTTTAAGGGTGTCAAGGGCGTAGTGTATCGTCTCATTGTCTGCTCTGTCTAATTCTAGTACCTGAGAAATTGAAGTAGCTTTTAAATAATAATCAAGAATGAGATTTAAGACCCACACACCAGTACTTACCTGACGGAGAGCATCCATGGCCTGGGCACCGACTTCAATGCGGTAGTTCTGCGAGAGTGCTTTGAGCGCACGGCAGCTGTCTCTGCGGTCTTGAAGCAGTGTAGAATTCGTAACGCGCTCCACTAGTCGCTCGACCTGTCCCACCAATGCCGTGTATTTCATTATTGCGTTTCTTAACCTATTAGTCTATTTTAACTTATAGTAAATCCTTAAAGAGCAAACCAAATATTATTATGTAAACAAATACAAATTGTCAAAATTCAACTTTACTGATGAATTACTTAACTGGGAACCGTGAACAAATCATGCACGGTCATTCTGCCTAAAATTAGGATTCCCTGTGCTATGGGTAGCAGAGACTGACATGTGTACATATACATGTCAAGATAACAGCATAAATAGTTATAATAATTTTATGCTTGACAAGTTATAATAACATATGAGTAGACAATTTGTTAAATTAAAATTACAATTGTTAAATAATGTCTTATCATTTCCTGCAAAATTTGTATTTTTATTGATGGAGTGGGAGTCTTCTCCTAAAGTTAACATTATTAATTAAGTATTTAAATATTTTACGCTATAGTACAATGCTATAGGCAAAAAAAATAAGTACAATCAGTAATACTTACTAAGCACTAGTAAAACTAAAAATTAGTTTAAGGTTATGAACCTCATTAACAAGATTCTTTAAGACTTGATCTACCTACAGAGACTTTGCTATTTTGTTGTCTAATATTTTGGTTAACAGCTAGACAGAGTTTTTCATTCGGTCCGTATACTACTATACTATACTATTAAAAGTATTATGGTTTCTAGGAAAAATATATTCTTATTGTGGTTATATATTCCATATTGCTATATATTCCAAATTTGCAAACATGCAACCTCTTGAAAATGTCTGAAGTCACATCACATTTATAAAATTGTACCACAAAATAGTATTGTCATCAGTTTTTGCAAATCATAAACATATTTTTTATTGCTTAAATACTCTTTTTATTGCTCACTAGAGGTCCTACTGCCAGTTTAATTAAAATAGCTTTTACAGTGTAATCTCACATTTACTATTCTGTTTTGCACTACGTACACAGACAGGCCGCTTAGCCTCATGTGGTTATTGTCAAAGACACTATATTATTATTTTTAATCAATTTCAATACTATTTTCTGCAAAATCTAGTAGCTCTTAGATTGACAGATAATTCTCTGCAACCTGCTCATTAAGAAAGCTTATTTAAAAAATGCTCATTATTAATTATGATAGCTGATGCTTTTACTAAATATAAGGGCACTGTCCACTGAGTCAAAAAGAAAGTAAACTATAGTAGTAATCACACATCTACAGAGGTAATTAAAAACGAAAACTGATCTTGATTTGCTGAATATAAATAGTTATTGTTCATATACAACATATAGCTGATGGCCAGCCCACAAATCATGGAAACAATGCCTCCTCAGATTTATTTGATTGAAATCATTATTAATTACGATAGCCGATGCTTTTACGAAATGTAAGGGCACTGTTTCCTGAGCCAAAAGGAAAGTAAACTAATGTAGTAATCACACAACTACAGAGGTAATTAAAAATGAAAACTGATCTTGATTTAATGAATATAAATACTTATTGTTCATATACAACATATAGCTGACGGCCGGCCAACAATTCATGGAAATAATGCCTCTTCAGATTTATTTGATTGAAATGGCATCTAGTAAGATATAGTGAATAGTGCTGAATATATGAAATTATGGTGGCTTAAAGGAATGATCATCAGTTCAGTACAAAACGTAGCTCCGTAGGCGTGGTATTAGTCTGTGAGTGCATGAGAGATAAGATTTTGATTAATTTACAAATTAATTTAATATATATATTTTATCTCAAATCTTTCAAATTGCTTGATGCTATAAAAGTCTAGTTTACATGAACAGTACTTGATTGGTATCTATAAATAGCCCGAGAGTAGACTATTATTCTAGAAATCTTATTAATAAAATGATCACCGTTTCAGCTGGAGACGGTGCGGCAGTGCCGACCTCTGGAGACCCCAGAACAGTCTTAATACCGCTTTTGAGGAAATCCATTTTTTTTACGTGCGTTGCTATACACTTTATACCTCTAGAAAGTAATTATAATAGAACTCATGTTTTATCACTTGTTATTTTTCGTGAAATTATGTTCAAGTCCTTTCCATAAATAAAAGACACGTCAAACCTTCAAACGAATTTGACAGTTGGTGACCGGTGCAATGCTGCCAGATGCTTATAGACAATTCTGCTACGACAAATTCAAAACCTACTAAATTCAAAATATTCATTTTTATCAAAATTTCCTAAGTTTTGTATTGCGTAAGTATATACCTAGGTACTCGCCGGGCCCCAAAGACATCACGACGTGAACGTCATCAATCACACTGAAACATGAGGTCGTAACCTCAAACGATGGCTAAAATGTTGGTCGTCGACATTTCATTATTGTACCAACTAAAAGGGTAACGCTTGAATAGGTATTGTATTATCTAAAATATTCATGATCATGAAAGCTAAACTAATAGCTGGACATGGCTTCTCGACTTCTTCCAAAACATTAATTGAACTCTTAATTAATTTTAACCAGTTTCCTGAGAGGCACTACCTACTTAACTTATTTTCATCAATTCCATTTGATTTAATATTTTGTTTCATTCTTTGACTTTTGATAAAGTAAGCATGCCTGTATAGACTACATTCCCTTCGTCTGCCTAATTGACTAATAAAACAGAAAAAAGTTAAACGTTACAAATTTACAAACAGTCCCTCAGTTTTTTTAATTATTTTGATTATTACGTACAACATCGACAATGTCTACTGATTTAAACTCCAGTTTCACAGAACAATACATGAACATCAATACAAAAATGAAAAAGTAAATATATATTTTTTCTTATTGTAAATAATGTATTTCATAGCTTTAAAAAACTAAAAATGAAAATATTTTTTTAACATACTTTATAACATATTATGAATAATATTTACAACTTGCGTTCAATCTAAAGCAAAAATGAAATATAATTACGTTGAATTTTCAGGCGTTTCATGCGGAAGCCAAATGTTTCTGAAGCAACAAATGAGTTTATAGCACTAGCGATACAATGTGAACATTCTGAACAGCCAACGTTTGCAGGGCATTCTTATGTGGGCGCTGCGAAATGCGAGGCCTCGGTGGGAAATTTCCTTGGTGAAGCAGAGCACTATATCTCTGCAGCCAGACAATTCATTAAAGCTGAGATGAAACTGAAGTCAATGAAATTCTACAGTCCCGAGAGAGAGAATTTAGAAGTAAGATGCTGGATTGAAATATCTTAAAGCAACATTTTCTTGCTTAGCCAACAATACTGTGCGAGATACATTTTCTTCATTTTCAACTAAGATTTAAAATTTAATCCTTTCATAAATAGCTATTGTGGCATATCCTATACATATTATAGGTATCTTTAGCTAAGCAATGAATTGTAGTATTAGCAGCATTGTTCATGAAGTATACTGTTGTGAAAGAGATTATTTGTTGATTGTAAACCTTTGATTAATCTCACTTCTCTGGTTAGAGCAGAGTGTGATGATTATCTTATCCATAATTTACAAGTTTATGTAAAAACAAATTGATTTTTGGAATGGAAGATGTATCTACGTAATACTTTTATATTGATAATAAGCCTAGGCAACCCTCAAAGAATGAGTACTATTTGCTCTGGTTTTTCATGCATAATTAAAAGTAGTATAGAGCAATCCTGCCAAATCTTAACCATTTGAGACTGAGGTCTGCCAAAACACTAAATCATACAAAAAACATTAGGTATATGTATATATTAAACATGATTTTTAAAGTAATTGATCAAATTAATGTGTTTGTGTTATTACACTTCTTCTAAATTTCCAGGCTGGTATAGGATGTTTTCTACAAGCACTGAACAAATATCCAGAAAAGTCACCCATTCGCACATCACTACTGATGGAATTGGCTAGCAACCTGTCCACCCTGGGACATAAAGCGGAGGCTATATCATACTACCAACAAGCACTGGATACTGTTGTGGATTATACTATGAAGTTGATGGCATTGTGGAATTTAATGATTTTACAGATTGACAGTGGTAAAATTCAGTATTATAATAAATCAGTTTTTATTTTTCAATTTTTTTAGTCCAACTTCAGATAATAATAATAACTAGGGGGACAGAGACTGATAGATACTTATATCGATTTAAAAATATGCATATGTATATAGATATTAAATGCCAGGACAAAGGGCAAACAATTCTGTCAATTATAGTCAAGTCACTTCAGATGGATTTTTCGTCATGAGCATTATAATAGAATTTGTAATATGTATATCATCGGCCTTTAAATCTTCACAGCTGGTCCTATGTGTCCGTCAACATTTCTCACAATTACTTGCTGCTTTAGCCCCATGCAAAGGATCCCCTTTAATATGTTGTTAGTCCACTATGCAAGAAACAATAATCCACCTTTTTAAAATATTGTTACAGAAAAGTTCAGCATGGCACTTGAAACTGCAAACACAATATGTGACTCCAAACTGAATATTCCCGAAGACCTCCTCACAGAGTAAGTAATAATAATTATAATATATAATAAAACTTTATTTAAAAGTTAGTTTGCATTATAATGTATTTTTTTATAAATTTGTGATGTAGAATGTAGATGTGTGATGTGTTATTTTAACTCTTTATAAACGTACATAGGCAGATGAGATTCCAACCTATCTTATAAGAAACAGCTACTAGTTTCTAAAGAAACCAATATTGTCTAAATTAGTGCACCACTGTCAGTTATCATAAAACAAATCAGATGAATCAGAAAAAGATGCACCTAACATATTATGAAACATTCTTGAGTAGGTATTCTTATGCGGTATAAGTAGTCGTGGTAAACTAGTCAACAAAACAATCTATTAAGTAAAATAATAAAGGATATTTTAATGACTTATGATAGTTGTATTATGAAGCATTTTTTCAAGTTACTTTAAATACGACTATTTCTAGCATTTAACACCAATCACACTGCATAATGTAGCTTGTGCCTATTTGTTAACTTATATTGTCTATTTATGACTCCAAACGACTTAGATTTTAGTTCCTTATTGCATAACCTAGTATTAATTTATTCAAAAATACACATTATTTTCCAGAGTTCAAGTAACCAGGATACTGTTAGCAATTCTCGTGAAACCAGCCAATGAGGACAAGCCACCTTCATTGAAACAACTATTTTTTGATCTAATGAATGATATAGAAACTGAAGGTAAGACTTAAAATTTCATAAAATAGAAATAAAAGAACCAAACCAAAATTGGCAAACCAAATAAATAAATAAAAACGTGTGCAGTTCACACACAGTGGCAGTGAAAGATTCAGAAGTTACATTATGTCTATCTTATTTTTTGTCTTTTTATCTGTCAACATAATTTATATAGATGTTAGAAAGTTATGTCATCAAAAATGATGTCAGCCAGGGTCCAGTTTAATCATAGTTAATATTATAGTATTATTATACTTAATATTTAAAGCAAACTAAAATATGAAGAAGTGATATGCCAATCTTACATAGTAGGATGTTAGGCAAGAATACCTCATCAAGATGATACTTATACCTGTAGAGGTATACGACAAAGGGTAGATCTTCCACCGAGCGAGTGAGATTGCTCGGTAGACCGACGGTCCGAATGTTGTTGTTTGGAGCTTGTGTATATGCAAGCTCATCTTGACATTGTCGTAAGCGAGATTCAGGCATCTGTCAAATATCTTGCGTTGTATAATGGCTACCCGCCACATAATTATTGAGATTATAGGTTAGTGTAGCCCTCTGTAATTATAAGAATGTATTTTCGATTTCAGCTCTACCTCTGAGTACGGACCTGCGGTTGAAACTGCAGTCAATAACAGTGAGCGAGCAGGAGGGAGATATGACGTCATTGGTTGCACTATTGGCCGACACGGAAGAGCACCTAGTTCCACACCAGACACAATTACTGCACCACATTATTTCTAAACAAAGGCTCGATCATTTGGGTCTTACATAAAAATCTCCCAGATACCGCTACGTTAGATGTAGATGTTCTACTCCAGTGAGCTACTTCTCACGTTTTTACTGTTATTGCAGTAGATATGCATATATGAGGGCGTCAGCGCAAAAGTGGCTTATGTTTACCATAGTTGGTATGGAGATAATGAGGTTTGAATAAATTTGATTTACTTTTACATTGCTTCGTACGCAAAAATAATACGCACAAAAGTAATATTTACAAGGCCATCTATTATCTATGGGTGAAACTAGGGATAGGCCGGTTTTGTATCAAAATTTATTATGTTTTAATTAAATTGCAACATAAAAAGCACGTTTATGAAGAATTATGGGTTAGGCCACTTTTTCGCTGACGACCTGATATGTAAATCACTATACTTATTAAGTAAGCTGAAACGAAGAGTTGGTTTTTTAACAGACTGACACATAGTAGTGCAAATTTGCATTTTAATAGTGATTTAATTTTCACAGAGACAGATTTTATTAATCTTTGGGAATGTCATCACGGGACGAGGTGGTGTAGCGAAAAATTTTGATTCGCTTAAGTATATGTGAGAGATTTACTTCGTTTTGAATTTATTTATTAGTCTCGTATTAAATAAAGCAAGATTCAACCGTTTAATTGTGTCTACGACTAACGAAAACCGGAGGAAATCCTACATTAAATAATGCCCACATATGATTCCATAACCATCTCTTATGTGAAAGGTTTTGCCAGTTTCTCTCTATTACTAAACCACATTCTGAATTGATGGTAAAGTTTGATAATTTGAAAGTGCCTGTAAAGACCTAGTTTATTAATGAATTCCATAACTGGGGCCTGGAGCTAAAACGGCCCAAAGTACTTTTTTGTATGAAATGAGATTGTAGTTTGCCAATTTATTAAAAAAGAGGGATATTTATGTGTTAAAAAGGCGTTAGTTTATCAGCAATCAAATAGCAGTAATCTTTTGCCATTATACAATAGGACGTAATTAATAGCTATTATTTTTGGTTAATTGTTCTAATGCTTATTTTTTTTTTTATTGCTAGTTGGGTGGACGAGCTCACAGCCCACCTGGTGTTAAATGGTTACTGGAGCCCATAGACATTTAAGACGTAAATGCGCCACCCACCTTGAGATATAAGTTCTAAGGTCTTACGTATGGCTGCCCCACACTTCAAACTGAAACGCATTACTGCTTCACGGCAGAAATAGGCAGGGTGGTGGTACCCACCCGCGCGGACTCACAAGAGGTCCTACCACCAGTAATACTAAAAATAATTAATAGTCATTGATATTGGCCCAATTAATACCAGATTACAGAATTAATTTTGATATTTTGGTTTTCAGATATTTATTAATTTTAAGTAATTTGTAAAGAACATTTAGATTAAACAATTGTCTATGTTAAAAATTTTACTTATATTATCATTTATGTTCTTTTATGTGATATCCTTAAACAGACAACACATCTAAGATAATTCATACAGCAACGAAACACAGACACACATTGATAGAAATATCAAAAGAAAGACAATAATTAAAATAGTATTTTTTCATTTATTCTTGCTAATTAGACAAGATTCAGCCACATTGACTACTCTTTTATTTTGTCATATTCCGAGACACCTATTTATTTGTCAATCATTTCCATAATTCCGCTTTAGTTATTATTAAGACTTTTTCTCTACTCTACTACTAGAGGTGTCTCCGTCTGAATTTGTGGGTATAGTACCCTTAAATTCATTACCAAAACATGATTCATCATCGATAATATCTCTACAATCAGAGGTTTTAGAAGCTGTTGAAGTTATTTCATTGTCAATCTTGACTTCATTACCAAAATTGGCAGCACTATCAACAGTTTTACTTTTGGCAGCATGATTCCACATTTCCTCAAATTCATCTTCTTCATTATCATCACTTTTATCACTTTTAGCTTTCTCTTCATTGGTTTTCTGCCAACAATATTCAAATGGATAGCTAACGTTTCGATTATCATCGGGGGCGATTTCAAATCGGCATGCCAGAGAATTGTATGTGGTATGAACTCCTTCCAATAAGTTCACATCAACTTCATTAAAGCCGGTTATTGATTTAAAAAGTTCTTCTGCAGTTTGCACATGTGAGACCCCCTTTTTTTCAAAGAACTGTAATGAGAAACAATATTAAACATTTTAAAGTATTTTTATACTACTTTAACCCTTAAAGTAATAGAAGATAAAGCATATCTGCTGTAATAATGGTAATGAATACATAAAATTATGAAATTGAGCAACACACCATTATAAATAAGTAATGTATGAAAAATATCACCACTTGAATTGTTTCATCACCACTTGAACATTGTTTTTATGTAAACTCATTTTTTTTGGATTTCTTTGATGTTATTTATTGAATAGATTAACAAAAATAGAATTAGATGTTAAAAGGAGCCACCAAACTTGACACAATAGGTCGTGCTCAATTTGGCTGTATAACGGCTGACTCCGTTTTATTTTTTTATTGACCTTGTTGGCATACGGCTAACCTGATGGTGAGTGGTTACCGACCTACTACTACGGGCTTCAGCAATGCCAGGGGCAGAGCCAAGCTGCTTCCTACCGTTGATATTACAGCAATTTACTTTTTATAAATTATCTATGTTGGTGTATATCTATGTTATTTATACTGGTATATTATGCCTTCACCGTAGGAGAAATTCATAAAATTGTTTTAAGATCAATTGAAAAAGTATCTGTCAGATTTTTATTCCTTACATATTTAGCACTATAAAAAAGGCCAGTACTGAGAATCCTCATCCTGAAGTCTTCAAGCCTAGGAGGCTTTTTTAAATTATATTATTACATATTTAAGCCTACGTATATTTATATTTTTAATTATATAATTAATAAAGCAGTTTGAAACCTGTTTAGTTGAAACCATTTTATTTATTTATAAAGAAATGATTCAGCTTTACTCCTAAATAATTTAAATTTAATAGAAAACGTAATACTCACATTGACAATATTACGACAATCTCGAAGTAAAAACTCCAACCCGTTAGGGTGGTCAGGTTGCACAGACTGAGAAACATCAATAAACCAGCATTTATTATCCCACCAGAGAATGTTATACTCTGATAGATCAGCATGAATCAGATGACCAACATTGTACATTTTATGCATACTCTCCACAACCTCATTGTAAACACTGTGCCATTTATCTGACCTTAAGATTATGTCTCTTAGCTTGGGGGCTGGCTTGTTATCCTTCCCAATAAATGACATTAAAAGTATATGTTTCTTCAAGCAGATCATATCCGGACAGTTCAATCCTATCTTCTGCAAGCGCATCATGTTGTGCATCTCCTTCTCAGCCCACATGTGTACAATTTTTCTTGGATTTTGTTTCGAGAAGCGATCTTTGAATCTATAATCGGCTTCTATGTATTTGTCTCGAGTTTTGAACTCGTTAAGAGTTGTTTTGAAGACTTTAATAGCACATTCTCTAGGTACATCTAAGTCAGGATAAGTTGTGTCACCATTAGCATGTAGAACAACAGACTCCTTTCCTGTTGAGATGACACCATTGATATCCTCTAATACCCCATTGTTAATAAGTTTGAATAGTATCAATCTAGTAGGCTCATCCAGGCCCATTTCGGCTGTAGCTTGACTCTCCTTTCTGTCCAACATTTTATGTTTACGTGTATTGTGATATCTCGTCTGTTCTTTCAAATGATTAAATACAGAATTGGAGAGTTTCATATCGAAGCCAGCGCCATCTCCAGTGCATACTTCCGGAGGGAATGCCATAACTTTACAAGCATTCCGCCTTCCAGTGATAACACTGTCGTGTTTGGTGACCATTGCTCCATCTTTTATGATAAATCCGCGTTTCGGAAGGCTTGCGAATTCCTTTTCGTTTGTTTCGAAGCGATCCCAGTCTTTCTTATCGCCCTCAAAGTCATCGTCGTCTTCAGAGTCGTAAATCAAATGCGATGGTACGTTGCGGTAATTATCATAGGAAACGGATACTTTAGCATCTCCATTACGTTTTTTCTCTACGCGTTTGATTTCGTCATCGTGTTCTCTGTCGAACTGACATTGCAAAACTTTTGCAATAATCGCGTCAGAGTCACAATATTCCTTTGCGTTGCAGCTTTCTATTTCTTGTAACAACTCAACTGGAACTTCATTAGAGGTGCCGACATGGTGCTCAGAGAGATGTTCTGCAAATTTTATCTCTTCTCTAACCTGAAGGTCTCTTGCAAATTCTTCAGACATGATATCCGACAGCTTCTGCGCCTCTACTGGTGCTGTCACTTTTTTCCAAGGATTCGACATGACTATCTTGTTTTAATTAGAATAAAAAACAATGTTAAACAATTTATAAATAAACTTGTAGAATATTTTATTTCTTAAATTATGTAGTATTATGTAGGTACCTACACATATGTTTAGCAAATTCAAGACAGATATTAATAACTGTATAATCTGTGGAAGACAGGCAGACCATAGATTATACACTACAACATAGATACCTATTATAATACACTTCATATTTGAAACACTAAGGCTGTTTTCCAATTAGAGCACAAGAGCGCATTATGTGGCATAATGCTCAACTAAGCTTCAGCATAATTCGGCATTGTGCGTTACTGAGTCGCATTATGCTCTGTAATTGGAAAACTGGTGTGGCGTTTTATTATGCGTAAGCCGGAACGCACGAGATGTGGGAAAAAGGAGATAGTCTGTGCCACAATACCTTTTTACCGCCAAAATATGAAAAACATAAAAATAATTTATAATGTGATAATAACCAATTTAATGTAATTACTTTATGCCGCTACAACAATAAAATTTATATTGTTCCAACTGTGGTGTTAATTACATAAAACACAACCAGGCGAAATAAAGAAGGGACTCTATATGAACTCCCTCATTGGTGACCCCGACGTGATTTGAACACGCAACCTTCTGATTGAAATTTGGGGCTACGCCGCACATTTCAATGGCGATTTATTATCGCTGACGTCAACACCGCCATCATCGGCTCCGATTTTCTGGCGCACTATCGGTTGTTGCCAGATTGTGCCAGCAAGAGACTCGTCGATAGCATTACCGGGTTGTCATGCGTTGCGGCCGTCGCTGTTTTAGACCAGACCAGCGTCAAAGTTGTCTGCGCTCCGTCATCNATACACCTCAATATACCACCCGGTCAGGTCGCAGAGTCCACTTCTCCAAACCTTTCGACCTATGATAATTTTTCTCTTTTTCTGCGGATTCTCCTTCTCCGTAGGGGGGTGGTGTGGCGTTTTATTATGCGTAAGCCGGAACGCACGAGATGTGGGAAAAAGGAGATAGTCTGTGCCACAATACCTTTTTACCGCCAAAATATGAAAAACATAAAAATAATTTATAATGTGATAATAACCAATTTAATGTAATTACTTTATGCCGCTACAACAATAAAATTTATATTGTTCCAACTGTGGTGTTAATTACATAAAACACAACCAGGCGAAATAAAGAAGGGACTCTATATGAACTCCCTCACTACCATTAAGTAATGGTTAATTTACAGTCGCATTATGCTCTGTAATTGGAAAACGCATAATGCGCGCTTGTGCTGTAATTGGAAAACGGCCTTAATTAATAAGTGTACCTACTTATGCTTCAAACCAGACCTGAAACAGACTATGAGCAAACTAAGGCCACAAATTTTTGTTTGGGAAATTTATTGCCCGTTATCAAGTTATTTAAGATATATATAAGATATTCAAGATGTTATAAATTATTTAAGTCGTTGAATTCGTCTGAGTTTCTGTTGGATGGTTAAATTTGAGGGTATTGGGTTCTGTAGGTGATGAGGGGCTATTTAAAAACACACTGCTTCATTATAATTATATTGCATATAATTTGAACACTTTTACACCATTATAAAATTATTATCTTTATATTTTTTATAAAACTATTTCATGTTTCTCTTGCCGTGTCTAGATGAGAAGCAAGGGCGGATCCAGCTTTGGTGCCAGGAGGGGGTCAAGTCAAGAAATTATAATTTAATTTTGATAACAATAGATACAAGTAAAAAGTAGGTATTTTATTAATGTACGTAAGTACTGTACCTACTTAAAAATATTTATTCTTTATTGTACACTTGAAAAACTTAACACATAATAACTTGTACATATACACGTACATATTGTCATCTTCTCTTGAAGAAATCTAGAGAAGCACTATCACGCCCGGAATGAGGCATCTTATTTATATTCCATAACCGTGGTCCAAAAATCATTATGTTCAATATGTGGTCCACCTAGGTCCTGGAACCAGCTCAGGGGGGGTCATGACCCCCATGACCCCCCCTCTGGATCCGCCCTTGATGAGAAGTACTGACTTTTTCTTAGGAGAATACAATCATCTGTTTTTTAAACATTTAAAATAATTCTAATATTCGAAATCTGTAATCATGTGTCAAGTGTTGCCTGCCATTACATTTATATTCAAACTCCAACAGTTTCTCGCCGGATTTTCACAGCGGGTTGTGATTCCCAAAGTAGCTGCTCTTGAGCTCTTAGATCTCTTTCCGAGGCACCATGGCGGCTGTTAGTAGGCTCCGTCCATTCTGGCTAAGCCCGTGCTCGCCCATCTGTCTTACTGAAACTGGAAAGGCCTCAGAGCCAACAGTTTATAGAGCTTATAGTCAACATAGTAACATTTTAATTGTTTGTTACTTACTATTTGAAAATTATGTAAAGTGTAATTTGTATAAAATTCAATATAGTTTTTTTTTTCTGGAGTTCTACTTCTTTTGGCCCATTTAAATGAAAACGTGAGAGTAAAATTTTTATCATTCGTGAACACACCGAAAAAGTCCTTAAAATCCTTACCAAAACCACACTTACTGGTGGTAGGACCTCTTATGAGTCCGCACGAGTAGGTACCACCACTCCGCCTATTTCTGCCGTGAAGCAGTAATGCGTTTCAGTTTGACGGGTAGGGCAGCCATTGTAACCCACTTCGATAAAGCGGCACGACACGAGAACCCTCTCATCGTGGCCGCCGGTAACTACATTCCCGGTCCTGCGGACAGAATGGAAAGCAGTCGACGTCGCCCCAAACACGTCATTTCGGATCCGATCTACTAACTGTGCTTTTAGGTACCTCAACCACCCGTCATCGTTCTCGTCGAACCCGACGCTTGCGACGAAGGGCTCGACGATAAATTAACCCTCAGACACAGCCCACTGAGTTTCTCGCCGGATCTTCTGTGGGTCGCGTTTCCGATCCGGCGGTAGATTCTGCGAAGCACGGCTCTTGCTAGGGTTCGTGTTAGCAACGTCGTCAAGTTTGAACCCCGTGAGTTCACCTACTAGTTAAGGTTACGCTGATATAGCCTCTCAAAAAAACATTGGAACTATAATATATTAGACCTATGACTGAGACCTTAGAACTTATATCTCAAGGTGGCCTTTTACGTTGTAGATGTGTCTATGGCCTTCAGTAACCACTTAACATGAGGTGGGCTGTGAGCTCGACTACCCATCTAAGCAATAAAAAAAAAAGTACGTGCGCAAAGCCTCAGTTCACGAACTATGGAGAACAGCTGTCAAGGCTTTATTAAAAAAAGATTCCACACGACCACTTCTCTACCAAGAGTAAGAATACGATCATGATGAACACACCGACCGTAAAAAAGCAACATTATTAATTTAGTTGATAACCAGTTTTTAAAGCTGTTACGCTAAAGAAGTAGTACTTTTTACATGCGTACTGAAATACTTACGTTCACTTTTTAAAAGTTTGAAAAGTAAGTAGGTAGGGAGTTACATATTTAAAATTAATAAGTTAGCGATTTTAGAGATTACCAATTTAACTTTGTTGATTGCGAATGTTGAACGAATGTAACGAAAGTAAATGTATATTTTAATGTACAGAAAGCTTTTTAAATGACTAAAGATATTAAAAGTTAATTCTTTTAATGGAAGATTTGGTTGCGTTAGGAGTTTTGATCCATACGCATATCAGGTAGGTAGATAAGTACACCTGCCTAACAACTAAACAGACTAAACTGACCATAGGGCCATGACTGCAATTAAATATAGCATTTATAAAAATATGCTATATTTAATATTTAAGACAGTCACTGGTTTTCAATACTATTCATAATTAAGGAAAAGCTGTACTGAAAAGCTGGTCCAGTAGTTGATTATTAAGAAATACAATATAGATTTTTTAAGGTTTTTATTTAAATTTAAGCCCTAAAATTCACTTTGTAGCCTTCTTTGCCGACTTAGTGCTCGCCTGTTGTGCCTTGAGGACCTTCACAATTTTTTGTTCTTCAATGAGGAAGGCTCTGACAATGCGTTGCTTGACACATTTATGGCAGAGGACACCACCATAAACACGTTTCACTGTTTTCTTACGGTAGCAAAGACGGGAACGTTCAGCAGGTCTAGCTGGCTGGATACCACGGAGTTTGCTCTTGCACTGACCACACCTTGGGATCTTCTTGGGCTTTTTGACATACTGATAAACCAAGCGGCCACCCGGTGTCCTTACTCTGAAATTTGAATACAAGTTAAATTATTTTTTAGGGATATTCTACAATTACTACAATAATTAATTAGCATTAATTTGTTGACAGAAGCAATGGTGGTCTCTGCCTACCTTAAAAAATTCATTGGCTCAAAAATCAGAAAAATGTTTAGTACTATTAATTTGTAAACATAAACTATTTAATGGAAATTAAGTCCACTTTTTATTTAAATGATTTCATTCTTTATAAAACCACCTGACTCTACTAAAAAAGTATGATGTCTAATTATATATTTGAAATATTTGGTGGCTAATTTTGACAAAAACGTAACAAACTGATTGTATTCTTATAGTGTTTTGTTATTACTGTATGATCTTGTAGGTGCATAAGATTTTGTAAAGATATATTATAACACACGAGTGTATTATTTTAAGAGAATAGTGGAGAAAAATAGTTGTATAATGAAATATTACACAACAAAAAAAGATTGTGCAGATTTATTCAAAAATGACCTTGTTCAATGGATATTTTAGGTTTAGTTGCTATGTTCCTGTATGACTAAGCCCTGGTTTTTCTGTATACTTTGTAAAATGGTCATTATTAGGTCAATGGTAAAATTCATTCAAAGAATTATCTTCGATAAGCTTCTTTGGTCCACTGCTCATTAAAAAATTACCAAATAGTTCATTACAGGATTTTTGCTTGGAAAACTATGTATTGTACTATGCCTTGTTACAATACTTTTCATTGCAAGGCCAACACTAAACATTTCAAACCATACTCAAATGGAGATGGCCCTTAAAATGGCTCTCCTGTAAAGTTGCAAAAATGTCACTTAGCCTTTCACCCCTCGATATTATTCGTCATCTCAACACTCACTCCTCTCTCTCTTTCTCATATCATCATTCACACACTCCATCAACGCTTCTTCAGTCGACCTCTTCTCCTCTACCTTGCACTACCATTTCCATACATCTCCTAGTCACATGCATCTTCTCTCTATGTATCGGTTGTTTTCAGTTGATACCATCTTCATGTATCATAATGATGTATGGTGTTGAAATTTATTGTGAGTATTCTACAAATTTACATAATATTTACAACTTTGGATACCAGTGTAGTTTCAGTGAAGTTTATTGCTTCTCTTATGATAGGTCTCAAATATTAATATAAGGTTAACTTAATGTACTCTATCAGTGTGTTGGAGTTTTTCAACTTTAAATGCTTTCTATTCCAAATGTATAACATTGACAAATCATAATAGCAGATAATAAAGCAGTCTCATCAAATTTGTTTCAGTTTCTTAGTTTATTATTATTATTATTGATGATTGAAAGCAAGTATATTCAAAAAGCACTGTGAAAATAGAAGATATCGACTCAACTTTAACAATTTTACTGTTTCAACTCATAAATTTTATTAAGCGTATGATACAGTGTATTCAACTGGAAAATGTAGTTTAAAAGAGGTAAGATATAACCACAATAAAAGGAAAAGCCACTTAACCTAGAAATGTCTCATAAATGTTTAATTCAATTTTAATCTGTACAAAACTTCTTCGTTATAGGACATTTAAAAAACAATTTAAGATAATAAGGCTGTAAATAGTGACGAAGAAACTTACATTCTTCTTTGATTTGATTTTGTGTTGTACGACAGTCGTCGCCTGAATGTAAGCCGCTGCACCATTTTCAAGCTGAAATATGAAATAAAATATATGTATAGAGTATTACACCACTCAAATCACTGGTAGTTGCTTTTGTTTTCCAAATTTCTTGTAAGATTACATTAGATTTCAATATAATATTCACAAACACACAATATCCCAACCTTTTTGACAGCTGGTGACAAGGAAAGAATAACAAATAGCAGTATGGCAGCACTGGATTTTTTCCACAGACCACAAATCTACCAAATCAGCAGTGCGATGAGTAAGTACGTGGAATGGGTAATAATTTCTTAATTCTTTAAAACAATTAATTTTTCCTTCATATTCTATCTTCAAGAATATTCGTAAATTATGTAGAAATTCACTTTATTTCACACAGAGTAATTAAGTTTTCAATTTCTTTTATTTGGATTTTTTTCGTTCCTATTGTAATTAACATCATTTAATTAATTTCATAATTAAAATTGCACAGATATCGGCAACTTTAAAATAGTAAACTTAAAATATTAAGCAGTAATTTTGCGGATAAAATATTTAAACAACATAACCACAGTAAAAAGGACGCGAGATGGAGTCAATATAGTTTTAACTATATTTACGACTCGCAGAAATCCCAGAAATTTCAATTCATTTCAGTTATTTCTATCCAATTAATTCACTTTTAAAATGTATGCGATGTAGTAAATTAAGAAGCATTGGCTAAAAGACTAGAATCCAAGGCATTTAATAATTAAAAAATAAAACCAAAATGTCTGCTTGAGTGCAATGTTGTGGTGTTGTTTTCAGTGTTAAAACTGAGTAAATTGTGTTTTAAGTGCAAATCAACGAAAAATGGGTGAGTATAACGATAGTTTTTTTAGTGTTTATCATATGCTTGCTAACTAATGTGTAACTTTTTGAAACAATGTCAGCTTCTAAATAATAGTTTACAGATGTTGAGAAGAGATCAATCTATAAAATCTGTTTTCATAACATTAAGAGTTTTCGGGTATTTACAATAGCAGAAACCGTAGAATATATAGGAGTCTAAACTTTGTCAAAACTACAAACCTTTGATATTTTTTACCGTAAAACATGGTGGGCGACATAATAAACCTTGTAATTGTACTAAGATACTACCGTAGTACCTGCTTCTTTCTCATTCAATATACTGTTTAAACACAAAATTCATTAACAGAGATTAAATAGCTTTTAACATTAACTCTCAACGAGTTCGCATTTCTAACGATAGATGTCGCTACAGGCGCCGTGAACATCGGCAATGCCAAGGGCGCAGCCAGGACTGCTTACTCTAGTTGCAAAACGAATGTCATAAAACTTGATAAAATGGTCTAGGAACTCATTACAAAATGCATATGCGAAAACTAATATAATTCTTCATCAACAAGATTTGACTTCACAAAACGGCATACTATATTCGAAGTAGAGTCGTCAGATTCTGTTTAAATTGACCATTGTTGTTTTATTTCAACAAACACATCGAGACCAGAACGTGAATACCGCCATAGCGTTGAGCTACTCGTCGGTTCTTCTGAGTAGGTCGTGATTTCGATCCAGCAGTAGAGTAAGCAAAGCACTACTCTTGTTAGGGCAGATGTTAGCAAATTTTTACAGGCTGAGCACCGTGAGCTAGTTCACCGGTCAATGTGTATCCAGAATAGCCCCTCGTGACTCTCTTCTTCAACCCGTATACATCCAATGCTGAATATAGGTCTCTTCGAATCCACCCCATTCTCTTCGGTCTCTTGCCTTTCGCACCCAACCCCTACCAACCACATTGACCAAGTCATCGGTCCACCTTGTTGGCTGTCTGCCCTCGTGACTAATGGTAGGCAAAAAAAAAAAACTGCCAGCTACCTTGACACATGAGATCGAAGATAGAACCGCTTTCCCGACCCCCATCAAACCGGATTACTTTGCGACAGAAACGGGCAGGATATACTAATAGATACGCAAATTTACAAATTTTTTATAGTTTTCGTTTTATTTATATTTACGTTTTTTTTTTTAAATATTAATTTTATATTTATGTTATTTATTTTAAAGAGGAATGCGCTTAGGATTGCACGCTCATCTTAAGGTCCATCAAAGTAAAATTAGTCCAGTTTTGTAATTCTCGTAAACGAGCCAAGCACATTCGTAAAACGCTTTACACACGTTTTAATCTGTAGTAAAAATTCAAATTTTGAGTAAAAACTTGAACTTTGGTCTCTATATGGGATCGTAAGCGCGTTCCGAAGTGTGCCCATTCGTAAACACGCATTATATGAAACAGATTCGAATTTCTTATGTAAATCCCGCTTTGATTGGACTTGTAATATTTACATAAATATCCCCCCTGATTGGATGAACTTAGGTCAACAGAGATTCGTTTGTAACGACATTACGAAATAAGAATTAGTAGTACATAGATTAGGTCCTATTGAGAATTTTCGTGTTGTTGATAAATCTTCAGTTTCACGTACAGAATAACATTAATTTGATTCTATGACTATAATTAACATATTCATTCACACTTTGTGTTAATATTAAGCGGTGTTAAGATTTATTTATGGTCTCCCTGATGTTAATCACTTACCATACTATTCTTCTTCTTCCTAGTTGTACACTCTTGGCGACGGAGTGGTCGTGGTCATGCATCATGCATATTTACCATACTATATAGGAGCGGCATTCGTATTAAGGTAGGCACCTCAATGCGAATACCCTGAGATTTGTTTATGAATTCTCAACTTCATTGATATACCAACTATTCGCAATCCAATTGAAAAAGTTAGATTTACATCATGGTGGTACACACCCGTACGGATTAACGAATTCCCTTACCACTAATAAAAAAAAAATGATTCTGAAGCCTAGCTGAGCTATTATGCCCGTCTTTATCGTGAAGAGAATATGATGGTCGCGTTTAGGGCCACAATTCAGCCCATAAAGATACAATACTACAACGTGAATATCCATCTTGAAATACTAATCTACTACGGCTTGTAAACTGTCTCACTCCTCAAATCGGAACGCATTCGTGATAGAAAGAGACAGGAAGCTGGTGACAATTCGACGACGACCAGTACTAAAGAATTCGGGGGAGAGTTGGACAGGAAAACCGAAATTAAGAATAAGTAGCCGAAATAGTCTTATCTCATACCATCCTGATCAATAGCCTAACTGCGTAAGATGGCAGCAAAGTAATTTTGAGTAGCGTAAACTCCATCTTGCGTTTCCAGATATCTTTTTTGCCACGTACCATCCGGCTTTGGAATAAGCTCCCCTCCGCGGGATTTCTCGAGCGCTATGACATGTCCTTCTTCAAACGAGGCTTCTGGAAAGTACTCAACTGTAGGTAGCGGCTTGGCTCTGCTCCTGGCATTGCTCAAGTCCACGGGCGACGGTTCCCACTCACCATCAGGTGGGCCGTTTGTTTGACTACAAGGAGGGAATAAATTTTTTATTTGAGTGATAGTTTTTAGTACTGTAATTTACTTGTATGCAGGGCAATTCTATCTCAAAACTAATAAAAATACCCTATACCTAAGTTTGGTATCGTATTGCGTGATCGCGACAACAATAAAATTATTCGAAACGGATATTATTCTGTGTACGGATTCGTTACGCGCCATGTTTCATCCGAGGTGTCAGAAATAAGCCTTTTATAATACTCGAAGGCGGCGTTTAAGTTACAAATAATTTCGACTGCGTTCCGAGAAACCTCCCGACATTGAGATGGGTCATTTTGTAATAATATCCGTTAGGGCTGTACCGGAGGTATTCAATTTAGTAAATTTACGCTATACTATAAATGTTAAACGCTTATTGTAATAAAATATAATATAAAATACTTTAGAAATTGTAATTTTTTCCCCCCTACGTATTCGCTAATAGTAGCGGTAGCCTAAAGGACTATTCCAGCTACGCTGTGACTGGTAGTTAAGCCGATCCTGCAAGAATGTGCTAAGAAACGCTGGGGAATCCATTTACGGATACCCGGTCGAGGGGGGTAAAGAAGAATAAGAATGGCCCCAGTAAAAGCAGTGCTTAGCAGAATCTACCACCGGATTGGAATCCTGACCCACGGAGAAGATCTAGCGAGAATTGTAAGCACAGTCGATTGATAAGTATTACTACCCTCTTCACACTCTTCTGTGAGAACAGAAGGCTCATTCAAATTTTTTTTGGAAGTCAGGAAAGGAAACTTATAATATATTTAGTTGACGCCGAGGCTCCCTATAGGTGACGTAAATACCCTAAGGAGATAATGTAACCAGGGGCAACCACGTTACCCAGTAATGAGGTTATACGAAGTTAGGCAAAAATTAGGTAAGAAAAAGTTTTGCTGCTTACAGGAGATGTGGCGACAATGGCTGTGTGTCTTCAATTCAATAACCCGACGATTGTCGTTAAGCTTGTTTTAGCAAGCTTAGACGATAAAACTGTGATATAAAAACAAATACGAGAGCTTTCAAGTAGGTATGTGTAATGCCAACACAGTTCGGGTCAGTTGTAAATTTTCCAAGAAGCAATTGATGCCATATGAGACCTCCAGAAACTAACTAGGTGACTTTTCAACATGAGCTTTAGTTTCACATTACAACTACCTAAAATCTCGAGTTCCGTATTCGTAAAATTTCAAAGCAAAGCCCGCCTTGTATATTACACGGGTCTTGGATGTTGAAACTTAGTGTTTAGATAAAAGATCTGATGCCTAGATATAGACATCTTCATAGTCTTCGATCGTATCTGTTGTTCCGGCACTGCTTGTCATCGTAATTGCTCACAAGATTACAGCTCTTACTCTTTCATTTACGTTAGTTATTAATAATATTTTTTTTTTTGTGAGATATTGAAGTTAAACACGCAAGTCGGATGTCGTTTATTAGTAATTATTCTTCGTAATTATTTATGTCTGTGGAATTAATATTTTTATTGTTTAATCAAATTTAATTTGATATTATATTGTCTTAATTAATAATAGAAATCTACGGAAGAAATTTTGATGGTTAGATATTACTAAATATTAATAAAGATATAAATTGCCGATGATTACGTAAATGTATCCATTACGGGTCGGCCGTGCGTCTGCAATTGGCGATGTTAACAAAATGGTAGCCATCGTCTATTGGAGCCACAGGCCACCCTACGATCTCCTACGAAACACTCTTGTTCTAGTTTGAATTTTACGATAATTGATTAATAATTAAGACTTAAAGACCTCATGTC